GTGGGAGGTGGTGGAGAATGTGGACAATTCTAGTAGTAGAGAGCTTCTCCTTTCAGCCGAAGAGGTCAAGATTATGGACTCGGATGTGCACCAATTGGTGACGGTGCACCTCTTTGGTGGCTCACAGTACTTTCTTCCTTACGTCGTCTTCACAACTTTCAACGACCTCCGAGTGCTAAGTTTAGAATGTTTTGCTCTTTTTTTTTTTGTTTCATGTGCAATGCATGAGTATCTGCAATACATCATAATAACTTTTACTTTAGTTTGACATTATTCTGGTTTCATGTTTCATCTTTCATCTCTCTTTTCCCATTTCATCTCTCTTTGCCTTTATATCTCATTGGTTGATGTAAATATCACATTGCTTCGTTTAATTGCATCTTATTGAATTCGTAATCAAAGTTACCAAGCATTATGCAAACGCATATGCGACATTCTTCTTGTGCCGTGGTTATGCTTCTTGTAGACTCGGCGTCAGTTCCTCACCAGGACATCGCGTTTATGGTGGTGACGTCTCACTAGGTCATCACGGATTTCAGGCTGCAGCAAATGATTCTCGACTTCAGGCCGCTGGAGGGCTCCCACATGGGGACAAGATAGCGAAGGAGTTGGAGGAGGCCATTGAGGAGTGGGCACTGGGTGATGTTCTTCGGCGTGACCACAGACAACGCTGAGAACAACAACCAGGCGGTTCATGTGCTGGCAGGCGTCCCTGACAACACACCGGGGTCACGTCCGCGTGATCCCCCCCTGCTGTCCAAGTCTCGGCATTTCAAGTAAGTATCATCCTCTGCTTCTGTTGTGTCTGGTGGCATACCGTATGATGTCAAGGACGTAAACGACCCTAAACCATGTTGAATCCTATCGCCTCTCCTTATGTACTTGATTACCCCCCCAGGTGCGTGGCCCATGTCCTGAACCTGGTAGTGCAGTTTGCACTGAATGTTGAGACGGTTGCCGAGCCGCTCCAGAGGCTGCGAGCAGTGGCCAGTCACATTGGGTGGTCGGTGCAGCGGTCGAAGCAGTTTTTTGGCATTCAAGGCCGATATGCAGCGACCCATGCGGGGACGGCGGCACAGGGGGACACTGCATAGGGAGGCAGGGCGCGGAAAGTACCAGATGACTTGCGCCTGATCATCAACTCACCGACGCGCTGGGGTTCCACGCTGGAGATGGTAATGAGGGCATTGGATCCACGCTCATTCCTCCTACGATGTATGAGTTTGATGTAAGTATGGGGTTTAGGATTGAGCGTTTTGATGGATGTTACGCATCACTTGTAACGATGTCCCATTAGTACAACCCGGTATCCCATGCACTCCGTGCCATAACCTCTAAGGATGGCACGTGCTTATAATGAATGGGTGACATATCGCATGTGGATTCTAACTTTTACCCATATTCCATCACTATCTAGGACCCTATGTCCCATGCACTCCAACTCTTGCCCTCTCAAAATGGGCAAGTGCTATTAATGAGGGCCCTGACTTATGGGGAAAACATGGGTTATTCTGATGTTATTAAATCGAGTCCCTTTCCCTCTTGAACCTTTTCCTCTGTCCCCCTCCCAGACCAGCATCCCCCGTGCCACACGCGAGGCATGGGCACCGATCAGGCTGTCCGATGCTCACTGGGCATCTCTCATCGAGCTGCGTGATTTCCTCATGCTTTTTGACGCTATCTCCCTGTTCGTGGAGGGGTCCTCGTACCCCACCATGAGAGCTGTTCTACCCCAGTAAAACATGCTGATGAGTGTTCTGAATACGACGTTGCGTACACCACGGATCTCGCCGCTGTGCAAGGACCTTCCTCGTTCCGCCTCAGGGCCCGGGGGGCGCGGAGTAATACGCCCATTGCGGTGGAGGCGGGGAGCCATGCCAGGGGGGCCCGGGCACTCGATCTGGGTGAGGAGAAGGTGAAGGTGCTGGTACGCGAGCGCCTTCCACAGTACCAGGCAGCGGCCCGTGCAGCGGCAGAGGCACGCCTTCGGGGTGAGGTCACTAGTGCTATGGGAGTGGCGGGGCAGGGCGCGGCAGTGGTCGGGGCTGCAGGGTGTAGGAGGGCTGGGGCAGTGGCGTGCTCGACTTTCAGGCTATGCTGTTTGGTGAGCTGGCAGAGATGGCGGCAGAGGAGGGGGTGCGGGCACAAAACGAGGCAGGAGGGTGGGTACTCCTTAATGTACTGGCGCGGGAGGGAGCAGCAGCAGCCCGGGCTTAGGGCCATGGCACAAGATTATCTGGGTATACCTGCACGTCTGTGGCGGATGAGCCAGTCTTCAGCCAGAGCAGGAACATCATCACGTGGCAGAGGCACCGTCTGAGCGCACAGCAGATGCGTGCGTCCACGATGATCACCATGCTGGAGAAAGGCTTGAAATTCGAAGGCTTGAGATTTGTGGCACTAGGACCACGCAGGCAAAGCTGTGCCTTGAGATAAAGCAGCTGGGGTTGTGATTGACAGTTGCTTGTGTAGAGTTGGGGAGTTGACATTTACCCCTGTGCCTTCTAAGGCACCGCACTGTTATATTTATCAGTGGCCTCCTTGATTGTGTGGTAGACTGCATTTGCAGTTGCAACTTTGAATATTTATTAGCGCCTATTTCATTGTGTGGTTGACTTCATGCACTTGTAGTAGCTGGTTCAAGCAAGAAATATCTAAAACCATAAATCAGTCATGTAACACATGGAAACAACACTATATACTATGCATTAATAAGTAGTTACAGCATGTGTCATACACTATAACCAAAAAAACGTTCGCAAATACTACAAATACTACACACCCAACTGACCCCTTAATATGGGCGGGTCAGCCTGGCCCGACCCAAACTGACCCGTGACCGGGTCATAGTTGACCCGAGTGTGTAGGCCCGGGTCAAGCCAGAACCTTCAGCAGTCTGGCCCGAGGCCGGCCCGACCCGACTGGACCCGGGAGGCCGTGTGGCCCGGCCAGGTCGGGTCGGGTCGGGTCGGGTCGGGCTGTTGCTCCTACCTATCCCACCCTATCAGTATCTTCCCCTCTATGGCCCTACTCGAGGCCAACGCTGCAACCAACACTCATGCAACTGATACGTGCTTCAAGGCACTCAGCGATGAGTGGTTTGCTCATGGGAACTCTGGCACCCCTCCTCGCTAGTCTGCCCTTAGCCCCCGCCCTACCCCCGTGGATGTCCGCACCTCTCCGCTCTACGCCCCTCCCTCCTCCTCCCAAGCCCACCAGGCCCTTACTCCCCCCTCACAACAGCAGCAGCAGCATGTGCAACAGCAAGGGCCACAGCAATATGGGAAGCAGCTTCAGCAGCTCCAGCAGCAACTCGACCTCCATCCCAGTTGCCAATCTTTCCCCCTCCTCCTATTTCCCAGCAGCAGCTTCCGAGTTGGACCGCAGGGAATGCGGCCCACCTCTCCGGTCCATCTCCTGCGCTATCCACAGGTGGCAGTGTGGCCCTCTTCCCCTCCTATGAATTTGTTGGCTTGCTTAGTCAGTCCGCATTTGTTGCATCCCCCATGTATGCCCTTGCTACCAATGAAACTTGATTTCAGTACTCCGCCACCCTTGAGTTCGTCCTGGATAGTGGAGCCACGGACACTGTCCTTCGTGATGCTGGTACACTCCATCCTCTCCCCACACCCACCTCCCTCCTCGGGAGCGCTGATAGCAGTTTTTCCATCCCCTCACACAACACCTCCACCCTTTTCTGTCCTCCCTTTCCCTCAAGCACTTTCACAGGTCGTTTTCTCTCCCGTTTTCCCTAATGTCCTCGCTCCCGTCTGTACACCCTTTGGGTTCCCCCCCCCCTCACCTTCCAAATTACCTCCCCCCACTAATCCACCCCTCCCTCCCTAACCCCCTAATTCAGATTGTTCCTGTCACTCCCTCTCCCACCCTACCATCACAGGCTAGGTCACCCTAGCTTCGCTACTCCGCACTCCTCTGTCTTTTCTGGTCTCCTCCACGGTCTCCCCTCCTCCCTCCCTTCCCTACCAAACCCCCTGCCCCCACTGCACCGTCTGTGTTATGAGCAAGCTCAAGCAGCAGCCGCACCGGAGCTCCCCCTCCGCTGCTGCCCAGCCACTTGATCTTGTTCACATGGACCTCTGGGGCCCTAATCCCTCTCCCACTCGCCAGGGCCATCGATACCTTCTCGTGCTCGTCAATGACCAGAGCCGGTACTCGTCCGTATCTCTCCTTCGGACGAAGGTGGACGCCCCGACTGCGATCATTGTCTGGCTCGAGCAGGCAAACACCCACTATGGGCGCCCTGTTCGACGCCTTCACTTTGATGGTTGTGGTGAGTTCCTTAACAACCATATATCCTCCTATTGCTAGTCCCGTGGCATTCTTCAGACTTAATCCCTCCCTCACTCCCCACGGTAGAATGGTGTCTTGGTAAATGAAGAAGGGACGTGCGGAACTTCAGGGCAAGAACAGTGCGGCACCCCCAAAGTAAAAAAAAAAAAAACGAGAATTGCCAGCAGTCGCGGATCGAGCTGGCGATCGCGAAAAGATTCAAAAAAAGGGGAAAAGGCGAGGATGTGGCGACTTCGGAGCGGGCGAAAACAGAGAGAGAGAGAGAGAGAGAGAGAGAGAGAGAGAGAAAGAGAGAGGGAGAGAGGGAGAGAGGAGAGAGAGAGAGAGAGAGAGAGAGAGAGAGAGAGACCCTTGTTCACTTAGTACCTAGTTACTTCAACTTAGTCCCTTAGTGTAGACTAGTTCCTTAGTGTAGCCTACTCCCTAGTAGTTTCAGTTCAGTGCCTAGGTATATAAGGGCATAGAGCCCACCTTCATTCTCATTGTTCGGTGGTGAGCCCAGTCTCACTGCGAATCCAGCGGCTCGCACCGGCCGCCGCGCGGCCGACGGCAAGTTACAACAAAAACACTATAGAAGGGAGATACAAATGCGGCGCTAGAAAAGACCCACAGAACAGGGGCAAGGTAAGTGAGAGAACCAAACATGGTGAACAAGAAGGCAAACCACGGCGCCAAGAGGGAACAGGGCGCTACACGCGGTTCAGCACGTAAAACCGCCGACGCATCCAGCGCAAGAGAACAGCGAGCGCGGGCACGAGCTCGAGGGGAGACTCCTCTGCAGCCTTGGCTACCCGCCGGAAAGCCCACGCGCCAGGACCCTCGTCCTGCTCGGGGAACTCGGGCTCCAGGGGCAAACGGAGGAGGCGCCAGAGACCCTGCGCCGCCGCAGCCCGGACAACACCCTGCTGGGGCTCCGTCAACTGAGGGTCACGGAGAACGAGGTTCCGTGCCACCAAGCCGGCGTGCAGCTGCTCGAGAACAGTCGCCACGTGAGACATGCACTCCCCAACAGCCACCATCCGCTTCTCCCAGCGTAGGATGTCCTTCACAACATCGCACTGGATGTCCCACTCGCGGCCCCACAGAGTCGCGGGCTGGGGGGGGGACTCCCACAGCTCCCCATTCCACCACCGCTCGTCGTCCTCGGGGTCAGGAGCATCCGGGGGAAGCTCAGGAGATCGGGCGCGAGGAGGAGGAAAGCGAGCTTCAGGAGCAGGCCCAGACAGAACCAGGGGATGCTGCCGCTGCGGAGGCTCGACGGGAGGAGGAGAGGCGGCGGGAAGTGGCGGCGGCGGCGACGGTAGTAGAGGAGGAGCAGCGTCGCCAGACGACAGCTGCGGCGCCGACGTTGACGCAGGTGAGGCCACCACAGGGGACGAGGCAGTTGGACCAGACGACTGCTGCTGGGACGACTGCTGTGACGACGGCAGAGGAGGCGGAAGTAGAGATTGCTGCAGGTCCAGCGGAGGGGGCGCCGAGAGATGTGGACCAACGATCTGCCGCTGCGGGGCAAGCGGGGGCCGGGGCGGCCGGCGACGGCGGAAGGAACCACCTCGGGCCCGCAGATGAGGATGGGTGCGCCCGCGGGGCGAATGATACACCGGCTCCCGTGGACGGGAGGGGGCTCCGGCCCCCTCGCGCGCGACCAGGGCAGCGGCGGCTCGGAGCAGGACTGGCGCCAGCTCGGCCGGGGCCTCTGGCGGGGTGGGAACAGCAGAGCGCTCAGCCGCACGACCCCGCCGCGGGCGCTTTCCCGTCATCACAGCAGCGCCGCGAGGCCCGGGAGGAGGGTGAGGCGGAATGACGTGTGACAGAGCGGGCAGAAGAGGAGGCACAAGAGGAGGAAGCGGTGCTGGCGGCGAGCCAGGCGGAACGGAGAAGGCGGGCGGGTACAAGCCGGCAGCAAGTGCTTCAGGAACGCGCGGACGAACGAGCCGCAGGCCACCAACCGCAAAACGCGGCAGCAAGGGCGGCCACCAGAGGACGGGGGCGAGGCAGGGGCAGGGGCGGACGCGTCGGCGAGCTGGTGAGAGCAGTGGCACGAGAGAAAGCCAGATCTGGAAACTGGCAGGAAAGACACGGGAGACCAGAAGAGGAAGGAGAGGAACCAATGAATGAACCAGTGCAGGAGGAAGGGTCGGAATATATGGGGGAACAGGATGTGGAGTCAGAGGACGAATTGGTCAAGCCAGAGGATGGGATGCCCGCACATGGGGGAGGGGGCGGACGACGTGGAGGGAGACAGGGACGGGAGCCTCGTGAAAATCAAGCACAGGCGGGCGAATCAGAGGCCCAGCGGGTCAACGAGGCTGCCAGCAAGGAGAGGGCCCCCCTGAAGATCGCAGAGGATGAGAACGCGTGGCAAAAGATACTGGAGTGGGACCTGGGACCACTCCGTGCCAGCGCACAACCGTTCCTGGTCCGGAGACTCCCTCCAGATATCCTGAAGAAATACAGTCACTGCATGACCGTACCACTGCTGCGACTCTCGAAGCAACCAGATTGCCTCGGCGCGTGGAGGATGTTACAATTCCTCCCCAGGCTCACACTACGCGCGGAAAAAGAAACCACACCTGGGAACAGATGGCAGGCGGTCGAGGCTCGGCTTCGACAGTTCCGAGAAGAGGAGTGGGACGCACTGTACACACAGGCCAGCACCTTCCCACCGAACTCGAAACCTGACAGGCACGAACCGGACCCGGAGGGAATCTGCGCCAGGGCTGAGGGGCTGGTTAGGAAGGCCAACCTGGCGAAAGCGACAGCATCTTTACACACCTCGCCTCTGGCCGAGCCCACACAGAGAACACCGGGAGCCCTCATCTCGAAACACCCCACCCAGGAAATGGCGACACCGAAAGGTATCACAGGTTACGCGACTTCCGAGCTCGCAATCAGTGCTGAGTCGTTTCGCGAAGTGTTGGCGAAATTGGAGTGGGAGCGGGGCCGTCAGGGACATGCTTCGAGCACATACGAGACCCCGCCTTAACCAACTGGGAGGTTTTTGCTCTACTTCACAAACTAGTTAATCGGCTGCTAAGCACTTACCAGAACGAGGCGGTACAAGAGCTGCTGCTGCCATCTCGGCTAATCGCCTTAGAGAAACCGGACGGTGGCGTCCGACCGATAGCGATAGGGGAAGCGCTACTCAGAGTGGCGGGCAAAGCAGCGCTAAAGGAGCTGGGAGGGCAAATCCGGGAATACTTCCTACCTGTCCAGTTTGGAGTGGCGGTGCCCGGGGGAGCGGAGTGTATCATCCACTCAACACGGGCACTTGTGGCGGAAAAGCAAACGAGGGTGATCCTACAGCTCGACGTCGAAAACGCGTTCAATGCCGTGGAGCGCGGAAGCTTCCTCTCGACGCTACGATGGACGGGCCTTGTTATTTGCGGCGGCAATCCAACCAGCGCTCCTCGCAGTGGCGGAGGCGGACCCGACTGTGACAGTGATGGCGTACGCGGACGACATCACGATCGTGGGAGAACCGGCACATGCAGCGAGAGCACTAAACAAGATACGGGACGACCTGAGAACCTGCGGCCTACGGTGCAACCTGGCCAAGTCGTCCGCCTGGAGCCCATCGGGATTCACAGGACAGCTGCCAGACGGCTTGGCAACGGCCGTGGACGGAGTCAAGGTGCTTGGGAGCCCAATCAGCACCTCACAGTTCTGCCAGCGCACCATCAGGGGGACACTCGAGGCTACGGCGGCGCCCCTGGGGCTCATCAGGAAGCTACACCCGCAGCACGCGCTCCTAATACTCTCACGATGAATCTCGGGCCGGATCTCGTACCTCCTGCGAACAACACCGGCAGACACGCTCCCCCGGAGGGAATGGAGAGAATGGAGCAAAAGACTCCTGTGGACAACGCTGAAAGCAGCCCACCTCCGCACGCCAAGCAAGGAGCTGGAGCAGAGCCTGGTGTGGAGACAGGCGACTCTGCCGGTCGCGCTAGGGGGTCTGGGAATCATAGACCCACTCTCAGAGGCACCGGCGGCATACCTGGCGTCCCTGCAAGCGGCGCGGACCCTCTTACAGCACATTTCAACAGGCCCCAGCCACCCCCTACAGAGCGTAGCAGCACTGGTGTCACCACTCGGGGACGGAGCCGTGGGGGAAACAGGGACACCCATCAGGGACCTACGGAACAGACTCCCCGAAACGGCCAGGGAGCTGCTCCGGGAGGCGGTTCGGGGGGGAGAAGGAAAAGGACGACTACAGGAGCAACTCTCCAGGCTGGTCAACATGGATAGGGCCGCGGAGCTGGTGGGGGACACACGCGTAGACAAGCCAGGAGAAGACAACGGGCACGTGGTCCGCCTTATCAGCCTGCAGGGGGTGGGCGCGGGGGACTGGCTCCATGCCATCCCTACGCGCGCGGACCTCACGTTCTCACCAGGGCAGTTTGCAATGGCCCTGGGGTTCCGACTCGGCCTGGCCTTACCCGTGACTGACAAGTGCCCGTGTGGCAAGAGAAGGTCCAAAATAGAGGACTTAAGCCTCCCCAATCACCTGCTGAGATGTGGGGAGGGAAAGGACAGGACGAACACACACGACACCCTGGTATACGCGGCACTACGGATGGCCAACGAAGCCGACTACATGACTGCGCATGAGACCACGGCCTTCTTGCAGCCTGTTAACCCCAAGCGAGCAGACCTGGTCATCAAGGACAAGGAGTCGGCAGAAACCTACGTGACGGACGTCACGGTGACGGATCCGGTGCTGCAGCGGCGGGACACACGAGGGGTGAAACCACCGGGGTGGGCGGCAGAGGACGCGGCTAGGGGGAAAAGGGGCCTGTACGAGGGACGGCCGGAGTATGTGGGAGTGCTAGGCCTGGCGGTGGAAACCTATGGGGCCCTGGCCAGGGATACCCAGAGGTTCCTACGCATGCTGGGGACATCGGCGGCAAGGAAAAAGTACAGGCAAGGGAGGCTCCCTACGGTTGCCTCCAAGCTCACTGCCCATTACCGGCAGCGATTCTCGGTAATGCTGCAGCGAAGCCAGGCCAACACCCTGCTGGCCAAATCCAACAGGGCAACAGAAATGGCATTCCCACAGGCGCCAGCTGACCCATGGGAGCCGCGCCTTGGGGACCTCTGGCAGGTCCTGGAAGACGACCTGGACTGGGGGCCGGCCCTGGATGTGTGAGGGGCCGGGGCAAAGGGGACCCCAGGCAGTAGGGCACATGGGACAGGCCCGTGACTGGCAGGTCTTGGCCAGCCGAGCCAATTAGCAGGAAGGGGATAGGTTGTTGCTTGCCTGCTTGTTCGTTCGTTTGTTGCTGGCTGGTTGGTTAGTCCGTTGGTTAATTAGTCCGCTGGTATGCATGCTAGGATGACTGCTACTACCATGCCCTGCTTGTATCTGGCTTACTATCAATGAAGGACTGCTTGAGAGAGAGAGAGAGAGAGAGAGAGAGAGAGAGAGAGAGAGAGAGAGAGAGAGAGAGAGAGAGAGAGAGAGAGAGAGAAATTATGGCCGAATTTGAAATGTCAAGACCGGCCGGCACCACGGGAAATCGCCGAGACGAAGGGGGACTTCACGAAAAAATATTATGCACCGACCGGGAAACTCCAACCGATAACCCCCGAGAGTTAGAATTCGTTAGAGTTATCGTGTAAAGAATATTTTAACTAAGAATATTACTTCTCGTATTATTTCAAAACATTAGGGAAGAGTTAGAAGCTAAGTGAAAGCCTTTAGAAATCCTACTAGTACCAAAAAAATTGGAAAACCAACTCCGGGGCGTTGGAAAGGGACGAGCGTATCGAGGAGTCAATATTCTCTCCCAGCATAACAATGTTAAGGCTCTCCATTTCCCACAGGTGAAGCCTACATGGCTGCAAAGGCTTAGGGGAAGGTTCCGGGCCAAAGAGAAATTGTATCGGCCTCGTAAAATCCTTCTCCCCCCCAAGTGAAGTTGGAAGTAGAGAGTGCAGCTTCGGGAGTAGGGAATATGAATGAATATTTTGATGTACCCTATATCCCTATTAATAAGACCATGTTCGGTTGCTCGGAGTGGCGTGATTGTCTAAAGCGGTTCAACCCCGAGATAGACTGGGTCAACCGAAAGGCCTGCATTTACAACAATGGAAAACGTGTAGAGCTGCGAAGCTGGACGGATACAGGGGATATTCCAGAGGCGACACTTGCACAGTTCGAGCGAACAGTGAGTGAGAGTAACACTGGTTACTTGGCGCTAGTAACGGCAGCAGCAGATGAGGAGAAGCCGAACTCGGAGCTATCGTAGCAGTACAGGATATGTTAGAAGAGTACAAGGACATCATGCCGCATGATATGCTTGCAGAAGAACCTTCAGCGCGAACCCACAAGCACGAGATCATGGAAGAAACAGGTGCGAAACCCGTCTCACATGCACCATACCGCCTTAGTCTGGCCGAGCTAACAGACATGAAGAATCAGATAAAATACTTACTAGATAAAAACTGATCCGCCCATCCACCTCTCCCTACAGTGCACATGTTCTCTTCACTCCAAAGTCGGATGGTAGTTTACGGATGTGCATCGACTACCGGGCACTGAACAAACAAACGGTTACGAATAAATACCCCATACTGCGCATAGACGATCTCTTCGATCAACCTCGTGGAGCAACAGTCTTTTCGACCTACGATCGGGTTACTGGCAGATCCACAAGACGGCGTTCCGTACCAGATATGGCTCCAACAAATATTTAGTAATGTCGTTCTGACTCTGCAACGCACCAGCAACATTCCAGGCGGGGAGCAGATGCTAGTGACCAAGCAGTCGGAGCAACACTGATGCAGGCTCACGGACGCGGTTTGCAGCCCATTGCCTATACACAGTAAAATGCTACACGGAGCAGAACTGAATTACCCAATCCATGACAAGGAAGCCTTAGTGATGGTCACAGCCTTCAAGGTGTGGAAGTGCTACCTAGAGGGAGCCAAAACTACAGTATACACTGACCACTCCAATCTCAAATATCTTAAGTTGCAGCCTACGCTCTCACGACGACAGGTGCAGTGGATGGATTTCCTGGAAACACACTTTCACTACGACATCGTCTACAAGCCACGGATACACAACAAGGCCGATGCACTGAGTCGCCCAGGGCACGTAGCGGGCATCCAGCTCGACGGAATGAACCCTTTGCTCAAGGGCCTATTCCAACATGGGTACTCCGTGGACGCAGAAATAGCTACAGCATGGAAACAAAAAACTATTACAGTGGGAGAATGACTTAGCGGTAAGGCTCAGGAAAGATATGGGTACCGTACCATGCCCCGCTCTGACAGATTTTACTGGAGGAGTTTCACAACGTAGCATACGCGGGACACTTCGGGAGCAACAAGACGTTGCGCGAATTGCATAGTATTACCACTGGCCCCATATGGCAGCAGACGTGCAGCAGTTCTTCACCTCATGCCAGCGGATAAAGAGTAGCAAGAAGAAAAAAATACAGGGTTACTTCAGCCTCTACCTGTGAGGATCTAGGATCGAGCTCAGAAAAGAGAATTGTAATTGAATGATCACCTGGGTACAACACGAGGCTATATATAGGCTCGACACAAGGCCCAGTAACCAGGTGTTACGCGAAGGTTCCGCGGGTCGCGAAGCGTCCCGAACAGATCCTTCCCGAATTCGGTAGAAGGCAATTCGGTGGCAACCGAAAAGCCAGAATTCGGTGCACGCAACCTAGCTCGGTGCTATAACTATAATAAAATATAGGAAAGCACCTAGCCTAGGAAATCAAGCAATTCATGCATGCATATAATTATCCTATGCTAGAAATAGCATAATAAAGTAAAGGCAAGCAAGCATAGCTGGCATA